ATGATAATTTCATATTATACAATAAATGATTTTGGTGTGGCCTTGATTCGATCAGTAGACCACACGGATGGCTGGTATTCGTGGACTGTATATGGAAACTAAAAACGTTCTTCTTCTATGATAATAACAAACTAAACTAGTTGGTTTGGTATTTAGCCTTGAGGCAAGTTACATGAACTTCCCGATATGTGTAATTAATCGACTTAATCAATAAAAACTAAATTAATTCATGAGTGATTAAAGTATTCTTAGTGGATTTATTACACTAATTGAAAACGAGCGACCACTTTGACACGGAGAATTTTTCAAAAGTAAATTTTTCAGAAATCAACAATTGTTATAATTGAACCAGTTTCCATAGGACATTAATATGTCATTAAAACCAAGTACTCTATCGTTATACCAAGTAAAATCGTCCAATTTTAATTTTATCAAACGTCAAAAAAACTACTTATTTTTCTTAAACTTTGATGATTTTTAAATCAAACTATTTGTCGTAAGGCCCGTAATATTTCAGTAAATTCTATAAAACCATAGTATATACCGCTAACAAAAAATTCATAAAAATCGGGCTTAATTTTTTTTTTTAACAGTTAATTACAAGAAAACGGCTCGTAAGATTTTCACCTAAACTATCATATCATTTCCAACTAATATCTTTCGAACAGTTTTTGATTTTTAACTTCCCGTAGGGTAAGTTATTGTAATGGGCCGAAAATCGGAATTGAAAATTTTTACATTTCTCGACGTTTTGAAGGTTTCTGAACATTTTGGCATACTTCAGAAAAATGGATGTGTGTGTGTGTGTGTGTGGTGTGTGTATGTATGTATGGATACAAATTTTCGCCCACGTTTTCGGGCGTACGGATCAACCGATTTGAATGGTTTAAAAACATTCGATTCCTATTAATAAGGAGAAGAGCTGATTAGTTTTTTGGCAAAGGCAGGTCCCAGCAGTTACGGAGATAAGGAGCAAAGAGTGCAGAAAATAGAAATCGAGTTTTTGAGAGAACGGAGCATCCGATTTGAATGATCTAAAAAACATTCAATTAGTAATGATTGGGAGAGGGTTATTCAGTTTTCCGCAAAGGCAGGCTCAGCCATTTCGGAGATACAGAGCTAATGTACAAAAAATGGCAGTTTTTGGAGAGAACTAAGCGTCCGATTCAATTGATTCAAAGAAATTTCTGCTTGTCTTAACAAAATAATTGATTTTGGGAAAAAAAAAATTTGTACCATTTTTTTTTTTTTTTTTTTTTTTTTTTTTAATTTTTTGTATATCGAAAATAATTCAGATTTTTTTTTAATTCTGACTATAGTTCTAATATACTTTTAACAAATAATTCAACTCTGCAATCAGTTTATATAATTCTTATAATATTAGAGAATGTTACAATATTTATAATAATCTGTTTGAAAAAATTCAATATTCCTCGAATATTTCGTTACGGTACGGGAAGTTCCAGCAATTTGCCTTAAGGCACGATGCCACCCACCCCACTAGTTTAAAATCGGTTCGGTAGGATGAGCTTAAATGTGGACGAAAAGTTTAACACTTTTTTTCAAATTACAAAGAAACGGCTTGGCAGATCGTCGCCCAAAACTGACAAACGATAGTCCTCGCCGAAATACATCAAATGGCTTTTAAATAATTTCTGAGATCGGTTCAGGCGTTTTTGAGAAACGTCGATCAAAGATCTAATTTTGATAAATGTCAATTTTTTGCAAACTTTGACGACTTTTTAAAGCTAACCATTTGTCGTATGGTCGTAATATTTTAGTATGATCTAGAAGACTATGGTATCTACCGTCAAAAAAATAATAATAAAAATCGTCGAAAAATTTTTTTTTACACTTTATTACAAGAAGCGGCCCGGCCGATCTCTACCAACAACTCATCAGCACGATTCCCATCAATATCTTTCGAATGGTTTTTGAATTTTCACGATCGATTCAGAACTGCGGGCTAAAACGTGGACGAAAAATTTTTTAACTTTTCTGCAATTTACAAAGAAACGGCCCTGCCGATCGCCGCACAAAACTCAGAGACGATAGTCCTTATCGAGATACATCATGGCTTTAAATTTTTGAAATCGCTCCAGCCGTTTTGGAGAAACGTCGATTTACGGCAAAAAATCTGTTCACACACACACACACACACACACACATACTTTTTTCCAATTTGGTCTCATTCGATTCAGAATGGCTTGAAACGTCGAGAAAACATAAAATTAGCCATTCGGATTTTTTGATGAAAACATAAACTTCTCCTTCGGGAAGTTAAAAATTACCTCACTTTGGTCAATAAAAGGAAACTCAACAAAACTTCTAAACTCGACTGACTCGGAATGAAACTCGAAACTGAACCAAAGAAAGAAAGCAGCTGTAAGCGTACTGATAACGCACTGGAATCGAATTGAATACGGAACTAGATAGAACCCGAACTGAAAATGCACTGGAAGCGAAGTGAACTGGAAATCAACTCGAATAGAAAGAATAGACTGACCACATGTCGGAAGTCTAAGGTCAAAGTTTTGGAAGGAAAGAGACAGGTAGTCTGGATTAGAAAGGAACAAATCGGGTGACATATTGTAACCCCGAGATGGCGACTATATTATTATTATCGACGCATGTAATAGTCAGTGGCGTCACCATTTCTTCCCCGGGCGAAAAAGGGTACCTTTTTAATACTAGAAAATATAAATGGAAATATCAAAACCATTAGTCAAACTATGCGAAAAATAAAACACATGAGAGATGGTGAAGAAATAACATGTTGATTCTTAATTGAATCTAGGAAGTAAATTAAGTTTTGATGGAATATCTAATGCTTCTATGTTCACCCATCATAATCAATATTAAGGATAAGTAATCTTGACAGGAAAGCAGTAACCTTGTTATTTGTTTGAACTATATTATAGTTGCTCAGTATCTTGCTGTAATAATGCTGCCAAATTTCATTCTCTGCTATAGCAAATGATTTTTAATATTCTCTATTAATGGATATCACTTCCATGAGACTTGCATATAGCACCACTGGAAATTATTTTAGGTTTGCATCATACATGCTTATTTTTTCGGAACACATGAAAATTTGTCTTGGTGGAATTATCAATTGTCATATCTAAGATGCCTTTATGTCGAATAGGAATTAAAATTTCATTGACCTTGGATTTGTTGATAATGGTGGTAGTTTATTTTGAGTAACCAGCATGGTTTAAAACAACCCGTTCGTCTTTGGAAAGTGTCCAATATGGGGCCGTATTCATTTCCAAATTAAAGGCATTTTTACAATAACTGCAATGATGATTCATAGCGTTCGATCTTCTTGAATGTACAGATTTTGAATATTATCAAAAGTTGTGAGAACAACTGAGCAAATAACATTCTGCTCTTGAGTGTGATTGAGTTGTCATGCGATTCCTCTGAATAGAAGCAAGTTACTGATAAAGTTACCACATATAATGGTAAAAGGTAAAAGGAAGGAATTAATTGAAAGGTAACAAATAAAAGCATTAGACTATTTTTTTTTTTTTTTTTTTTTTTATCGTTTGCAAATATGAAAAAACATATTTCTTCACCATAAATTACTGTGTAGGTAGGGGGCAGAGCTTTACTACAGGGCGTTTCAATAACGTAGCCCTGGTTCTTACTAAAGCTGTGCGCACCTCTCCGTCTTTTCCAGGAAAAACGTCTTCAATAACCCCCATGGACCATTGAAGAGGAGGCAAATTTTCATTTTTGATTAGAACTAACATACCCTTTTTAGCCGGGAGAGAAGGGGTGTTCCACTTTTGACGTGATTGTAAATCACTTAAATATTCAGAATGCCATCTCTTCCAGTAAGATTGTATTATTTTATCAATTAATTGTTTTCGCGTCGGTAAATCTATTTGCAATATGTTTTTTGATGGAAGGATGTTTAAGGGAGTTAAAGTGAGGAAATGAGCTGGCGTAAGAGGTTGGGGATCACTTGGATCGGAACTCATCCAACATAATGGTCGAGAATTGAGAAGCGCCTCAATTTGGATTAACACGGTATTTAATTCCTCGTAAGTAAGAATTTGTTCACCTATTACTCGATATAAATGCGCTTTTATAGATTTTATGTTGGACTCCCACAAACCCCCGAAGTGGGGTGCGGCTGGCGGATTGAAAGACCAATTGATATTATGCTTGTGAAGTTCGGAGTTTAATGATGCACTAAATGATTTTGAGTTAATAAGCTGAAATATATCTTTCAGTTCTGATTTGGCACCAACGAAATTTGTTCCGCGATCTGAATACAGACAAGAAACTGGACCTCTTCGTGAAATAAAGCGCTTAAAACAATTTAAAAACGTCGAAGTGGTTAAATCGGAGGCAAGCACAATATGTATTGCCTTTGTGGAAAAACAAATAAATAAACAAATATATGCTTTTGAACTTTTTACGCCCCTAAATTTTCCCATGGTTACGCGAAAGGGACCAGCATAGTCAGTACCAGTGTGCTGAAAAGGTTTTGCCTCCATAACACGAGGAGAAGGTAAATCAGCCATAATAGGAGTAAAGGATTTAGGATTACTCCTAAAGCACTTATTGCATTTATGAATACGTTGGCGTACAATACTGCGAATGGATAAAATCCAGTATCTTTGACGAAGAATGGAGGTGAGTAAATGTGGACCAGCATGTAAATGTTTCTCATGATAATAATCAATTATTAAATTTATCACGTGATCCTTTTTGGGTAAAAGCAAGGGAAATTTATGATCAAAATCCAGGTTAGCATGTGTTAAACGTCCACCAACTCTTAAGAACCCATCATGTAAAAATAGTCGTAAAGTCCGATACCTTTTAGGAAACTTGTTCATTTTCAAACAATCAATTTCTTCGAAAAAATAGATTTGTTGGATAAGTTTGATTATAGTTAATTCGGCTTTGTTGAAATCTGAAAAATATATTTCACTTCTAGATGGAATAATTACGCAGAAACGTAAAATAAATACAAATATTCTGCATAGTCTGGCCCATGAAGATATAGTGGAAGTAAATTCGTATAGATCATTTTTACAGGAGTTTGCCACTAAGCAAGATGAAACTTTTTCTTCTGGAACATTTTGCATGGAATCTAACGTAGAACGTATGGGCCAATGACTTCTGTGAGAGTAAAGCCATGAGGGACCTGTGTACCAATTACTATTATTAAGCAATGTATTTGGTAATGAACCACGAGAAACACAATCGGCAATATTTGCCTCGGAAGGAATATGATACCACTTGGCAGAAGGAAGTAAATCATGAACTTTCGTTACTCTATTTGCGACAAAAGTTTTCCATCTATGAGCTGGTCCTGTTAACCAATGAAGCACAATCATCGAGTCCGTAAAACCATATATTTCTTCGATACATAAAGAATGATGATTGGAAGATATGACAAAGGATAATAATTTTGCTAATAAATGCGCCGCACACAACTCTAACCTAGCTAAAGTTTGAACTTTAATTGGAGTAATTTTTGATTTTGAAATAAGAAGGTAATATTTATTATCATCGCAAGGCTTGATATAAATCACAGCTCCATAAGCCTTTTCTGAACTATCCGCAAAACCGTAAAGAGAACAACGAATATAATTTTTGGTACCTACAAATCGAGGAATGGAAAGATTAATTAATTCTGGAAGTTGATTATAAATACTAAGCCATGTTGCAACTAACGAGGAAGGTAATGGCTCATCCCAATCCAATTTTAATAACCATAGTTCTTTCATGATCATTTTGAATTTGATGGTAATAGGCGTAATGAAACCTAAGGGATCCCAAATACGAGCAATGGTGGATAATATATGACGTTTTGTCCTATTTTGATGGAGAAGGTTGATATTAAATTTAAAACAATCTTGAATTGGATCCCATCTCAATCCCAATACTTTAACAGAAGTATCAAATTCAGAGATTGTTTGTGAAAAATTAATTTGTGTTTTATGGTGTGATTCAAATTGTTTATACATTAGACGATCATTCGAAGCCCACTTCGCTAGTTCAAAACACGCGGAACGGAACAAACTCGACAATTGAACGTAAAGTTGTTTTGCGATTTCGACGGTGTCTGCACTAGTAACCACGTCGTCGATATAAATATCGTTTTGCATTATATCAGTGGCTAAGGGGTAATTTTTGCTCTCATCTTTAGCTAGTTGTTTAATAATGCGTAACGCATGAAAAGGAGATGACGTAATACCAAACGTGACAGTGTTTAATTCATAAATGCCGAGGGGATCTTCCGTAGAAAATCTCCAAAGTATCCTTTGAAATCGTCTATCTTGATCACGAATTAATATATTTCTGTACATCTGTTTAATATCGGCCGTTAAAGCAATTTCGCCAAAACGAAAGTTAAGAAGAATTGTGATAATGTTAGACTGTAGCTTTGGCCCGGAAAATAGGTTGGCATTCAGGGAAGGAAATTCAGCATTCTTTGCTGATGCATCAAATACAATTCGTAACGGTGTGGATGAGCTGTCTTTAATCACGGCAAAATGTGGAATATAATACCCTTCATTGGCTGCGGAATCATTTACATGGCCTAAAAATGACATGTGTTTTCGTTGTAAATAATCTTGAATTACTTCTGAATATTGTTTATGGAATTCAAAAGATTTCCGAAATTTTTGTTCTAAAATACAATAACGCTTATGCGCGAGTTCATATGATTTCTGAAAATTTACATTAACGTTGTCATGAAATGGTAATGCGACCACGTAACGTCCATCGAAATTCCGTACTGTGGTGGACGTATAGAACTGTTCGCAATAATCGTTTTCCGACACAATCATGTCAGGTACATCTTCTAACTCAAAAAATGTTTTCATTTGTTTAGATAAGGAATCATGTTCAATCGTGCATAGATTTGTCGAACTTGAATCAGGCGATGCAACGTTTGGAAGAGATCCCATTATTACATAACCTAATTTTGTATCCAATGCGATAGGTGAATCGACGGTTTTTATGTGATTTGACATAATAATAGCATTAAATACATCACAACCCAAGATTCCATTAACAGTTTGAGGAATGAAAAATTTATTATCCGCCAGTTGTAAAGATAAAAATTTATTAATGGAATCGAATGGAATTTTAATGGTCGGTTGTGGTTTGACAATTTCATGTATTACATAGGCACATACAGACATTTGAAAGGAACAATCATTCGACATAATAATAAAATTTGCCATGCCCGTAATTTTTTGCGAAGAGTTACCTATAGAAATGACTTGAGCCTCGATCGGTGTTATCTCTAGTTGAGCGGATTTACAGAATGACTCTGTCACATAGTTGCGATCGCTTGCGGTATCAATAATAACACGTAACGGACTAGTTTTAATACCTGTTGCCAAAATATAAACAGTTGCGGTCGGCATGAATCAAATATTTTATATTATTAACATTATATATTAATTTTTCATTCACAGTGCGTAAATTATTTAAGCGCCGTTTAGTGTTTTCCGTTACCAACCTCCCAATTTTGTTTCATGCTATGTTAATAGTTTTTATTATAAGTTCAAATATCAAAACGCAAGACTTTTTTAAATCCATGTATTTCATAGTACTTCTATAATTTTTGTGATATTGTCATCGAAACAAAACTGCCCATTTTTAGTTATAGTTAGGCTTTTTATATCATTTTTAAACAGTGGGCGTTTATTCGTTTCAAGATATGAGTTCAATAAATCAAATTCTGAGTGCTAATATGTGAATATTTGATCAACTTTCTAAGAGTGATTATGTCGTAATATGCAGTAGTTCACGTACGCATTTGATTAAGTTTATCAATTTTATTTTTGATTATATCACTTTTCTATTCGATATGAGGTCATACTTTGTAACGACAATTCTTAGGATGTTCAGACATGATAATCAGATTGCTTAGTATATATTATACGTATATAAACCGTTGGGTTACAACGAAGTAAACATATAAGCAATAAATTGCAAATTAATGTAAACATCACTATTCTCTCAAGAAATATTTTTCTTATATTTATATTTAAGGGGGTATTTTTATGTAAAAATTCACAAAAATAGTTTTTCTTTTGGTTCATATTTTAAAATTTTAACTATTTAAAAAAAAGCGTACGAGAATATTTTTTTAAATTTAAATTATTTTCGGAGATACAGTGTTTGATCATGATAATCCTCTTCCGTTTCTTTCATTTTGCGAAACTGTAAACGCGCTTTTCTTAAAACTGTCTTTTTCAATATAATGCCCACGATTTCTAGACTTCTACTGAGCCGATTCACTTGAAATTTCCAGAGAATATTTTTTTATAGAGTGCTCTCTGTTATATAACCTCATCCTCTTATTTCAATCAATGCTTTTTTTAAAAAAAAAATCGAGAAACTCTAAAAGTGGTAGAAAAAATAATACTTCTTTCTCAAACAGTCATCATTTTGTCAAAAAAAAATTTTTTTTGCCTAATCCATTTTTAATATCATTGCGACATCATTCTAGAATCTAGATTGATAATCTTTTTTTTTTTCATTGCGAATTACTAGAAGGGCTGCAACCGTGGGCATGATCGTACCTATCAATTTTTAGGGACCCCCCACTTCAACAACTGCTAACTTTAAAAATTATCATTTTATTTTGGTTTTACTTTTTTCTGTACTCTTGTATCACTGATAAATAAATTATATAAAAAATTAGGGTAAAAACGTTGATTGGCTATAATTTACAATGATGTAAAAATGACCTGAAATTAATGCCTTTACAATAGAATACTGCCTTAAGTTATAACTATTTCTATAACATATTTTAATTTCAAGAATGAAAGTGAGCAATTTTTGTGAGAATGAAATATGCATATTGAAGAGTAAATGGAAATATGATCCATAATCCGCGAATAACTGAATGAGTTGATAAATTTGAAAAAAGATGTATAATACATAAAATTACATAATATTATAATAATAATTAATTAAGTAATAACAATGAAACCAAAACTAAATGTAATTAATATTAGAAAATAATGAAAGATATCATAAATTGGTTTTTATCAGATGACAGCATGAACAACATCGATTGATAAATAATCATTTTTATTATATCGTTTCCAGGCTCACCGGCAATGACAGTCTCAATAGGCCAATCATCGGGCGGTCCTCCACCGAGCCCTTCGCATTCATCGGGGTCCGATACCGATCTGCTGACGTCCGCCTCCACCGCCCTACGAAGGCTAAACTTCAAAGCGGCGCGTCACGCCCGCAATAACAAACCCAATGTGCCAAAGGTATGTAAAAATGTAATGGCAAAACATAGTCGTTTATTTTTTTGCCGATCAGATTCACACTTTTATTTTTTTTGGTTATTATTAAGTGTTGAGTGATTCTCGTAAAAGCTCAATTACATTTCCTGCCATTTTTATCAATAACTAGTGGGACGCATGGCATTGTGCCTTAAGGCAAATTGCTGTAACTTCCCGTACCAAACATTATTTTTTTTCAAAAGATTAACATTTTTGAAAATAATTTACTCTGAAAAAATTAGATTTTTGAGAAACTATAAATTTTTGACAAAAATGTACTTTTTTTGAAAAAAAAAAAACTTTTTGAAGAAAAATTTATTTTGAAATATTTTGGAAATTCTGAACTTTTTTTCAAAGCAAATATACTGCTTTAACTGCATAGAGACAAAAGATCGAAGCGCGTAAGCGCCGCGCCGCCGTCTAACGGATAAACATTGGTACGGAACTCATAGGAATGTAAACAAAATTTATACTTATTGTTAAATTCTCTCTATAAAATATCTGATAATTTGATGTACATATGTCTAATGATCATTTTTAACCGCCAGATGGCTTTTTTTTACTATTTTTACTAGATCGCCGAAACCGCTAGACCTGTCTTCATGAAAATTTGATCAGTTCTTCATCTTGTTAATACAAGTAAAATGCTTCTTGAATTATTCAAATCGGACGCTCCGTTCTCTTAAAAACTGAGTTACCGTTTTTGGCACTTTTTGCCTCATATCTTCGGAACGGCTAGACCTGCCTTTGCCAAAAACTAATCAGCGCGTCTCCTTATCAATACGAATCGAATGTTTTTTTAATTATTCAAATCGCTTCATTCGTGTTCCCGAAATAGTCGACGAAAATTTGTATCCAAACATATACACACACGCACACACACGCGCTGAAACCTCTGAAACGTAAAGATATATAGAAATTTTCAGTTTCGATTTTTTTGCGATTACTGTAACTTGCCCTACGGGAAGTTAAAATATTTTTTTTCTCTTTATTATTTATACAGGGTGTCCGCAGAACTTCACACCAATCCGAAACGAGGTGATAGTACATACTGATCTTAACAATCCGGAAAAAATTATAAAGAAAAATATCTCACGTTGTTTGGAAATTTCAAGCTTTTAAGTGAAACCTAGAGATGGTGATATTATAACCAGTCATAATTAGTAGATTTTTTTTTCATAATAATAAATATCAAGTATTTTATCATTTTACAATCTTGATTATATGCGCCAACTTTTGATAAAAAAAACATGCCAACACACTTTAGGGCTTTTTTTTTTTAAAAAAAAAGAGGGCTTCTAAAAGTCGACTGATCTTCAAGCTTTTAATTCCACAGTTGAACAAAAAGGGTTTAACAAATACTTAAGAAAATTGTGTCTTGTGGCCATAGAAATATTATTCACGGATACGGTTCCTGAATTAAAACGAACAAAATTGATAAAAATTAACCACTATAACCGAAAAATGATTCTAATGTCACCAAAGCTCTTGCTTGCACTTAAAAGCTCATAATTTACAAATAACTTGAAATATTTTTTTTCTGTTTTTTTTTTCCAGGGCACATAAGGTCAATATTATTACCTTTTTTGATTTTTTATAATAAATAATGAGACACCCTGTACAACATAATACTTTTGTTGTACTAGCATCAATAAATCTTTAGTTCATGGCCTTAGTTAAAAAAAACAGACATGATTTGTTTCTATAACATTTTTTTTTTTTTTGAAAGTTGAATGAATTTTTTTCGAGAACCTTTCATTTAATTTAAAATATAATTAATGTTGTTTGTTAAAAATTAAAATGCAAACGAACAATGTATTTTCTAAACGAGTGTTTTATTGAATTCGATTAATTTTCTGCAAATTATGTTCAATATATGTTTTATATACGATATGGCAGTACAAATTTATTAAGTTAATCGTTTTTTTAGATATTTTTTAAAATTAATTTCACATACAAAAAAAACATTTAAAACAAGAGTTTTAATACAATTGAATTTAGAACTATAACACATAAAGTTTAGTTAAAATTGATAATAAAACTTTTATCATATAAGAATAGCTATCTATTACGGGAATTTAAAATAATATAATCTAAAAATATTATTTTTGTTGAAAAATACTTTACTTTTGAACTACCTGAACACAAGGCCAAGATATTTCTCTATTTTTTTAAATGTTTAAATACTTATAAAATGTTGAGCTGAAGTTAATCTCAAACTTCCATGTACATAGTATTTACTTGTTCTCAAAAATTCTCCAAATCGGTTGGATTTAAATTAAAATACATAATGCATGATCATAAGGTGATACAATTTCTAAAATTTCTTCATTTAAGGTAAAAGACCCAGTTATTGGCCCTGGCCCAGTTTCTGACCTTTTCAACTTTTTTTGGAATTAATTAAAAAACTATACATTTAATGTGAAAATAAATTAATTAAAAAAATATAAAAAATATTAACTAAATAAAAAAAAATTTTAAACCAAAAGTGACTGTGGAAGCAATTTTTTAGCTTTAGTCTAAACAGTTTATGTAAGGAGCTACGACAATTGAGTTCGTGCACTAATTATGATGTAAGTACGAAAATCTAACTAAAAATATACAAATAAGTCAATAATTAATTAAAATTTATTTTAAAATATTTATAAAAC